CGGAGTCTCACTCTGTTGCCCAGGCTGGAGTACAGTGGCGCAATCTTGGATCACCACAACCTCCACCTCCCAGGTTCAAGCGATTCTCCTGCCTCAGCCTCCTGAGTAGCTGGGACTACAGGCGTGTGCCACCATGCCCAGCTAATTTTTGTATTTTTAGTAGAGACAGAGTTGTACTATGTCGGCCAGGCTGGTCTAGAACTCCTGACCTCGTGATCCATCCGCCTCGGCCTCCCAAAGTGCTGGGATTACAGGCGTGAACCACTGCGCCCAGCTGTTTTGTTTTTTACTTAATAATTAACATAGGGTTGGGCCGGGCGCGGTGGCTCAAGCCTGTAATCCCAGCACTTTGGGAGGCCGAGACGGGCGGATCACGAGGTCAGGAGATCGAGAGACGATCCCGGCTAACACGGTGAAACCCCGTCTCTACTAAAAAATACAAAAAAATAGCCGGGCGAGGTGGCGGGCGCCTGTAGTCCCAGCTACTCGGGAGGCTGAGGCAGGAGAATGGCGTAAACCCGGGAGGCGGAGCTTGCAGTGAGCTGAGATCCGGCCACTGCACTCCAGCCTGGGTGACAGAGCAAGACTCCGTCTCAAAAAAAAAAAAAAAAAAAAAAAAAAATTAACATAGGGGACTTTTGTGACAAAATGTATTGGTATTTCTTCCTACAGCCAACTAAGTAATTTTTTAGTGGACATCAGCTGAGTGTCCTTTAATTTAGTGTTTTTTTTGTTTTTATTTTTATTTTTTTAGAGACAGGGTCTTGCTGTCACCCTGGCCATAGTGTAATGGTGTGATCATGGCCCACTGCAGCCTGGAACTTCACGTGCCTCAGCCACTATCTACCTGGAGATAGTGTCAGATATCACAGGTTGAGGGCTTGGTCCTCAAGACTGCCCCCCACCCCAAGTAGGTGTCAATCTTAAGTTTTAGGTTATGTGATCTTTTTGACCAACTATTTATAAATCAGAAATCTCAAGTCATCCTTTTTGGGTTTAATTTGTTACAGTGCCTCTCAGAACCTAGGGAAACATGTTTATTATGAAGGATATAGATGAAGAGATATATGGAGTACTGGGGAAGGAGAGTGGAATTATTTTTTTTTTTTTTTTTGGAGATGGAGTCTTGCTCTGTTGCCCAGGCTGGAGCACAGTGGGGCGATCTCGGCTCACTGAAAGCTCTGCCTCGTGGGTTCACGCCATTCTCCTGCCTCAGCCTGTCTGAGTAGCTGGGACTACAGGCGCCTGCCATGATGCTTGGTTAATTTTTTGTATTTTTAGCAGAGATGGGGTTTCACCGTGGTCTAGATCTCCTGACCTCGTGATCCGCCTGCCTCGGCCTCCGAAAGTGCTGGGATTACAAGCCTGAGCCACCATGCCCGGCCGGAGAGTGGAACTTCTGTGCCCTCTCTGGGCATGCCACCCTCTAGGAACTTTTTTTTTTTTTTTTTTTTTTGAGGTGGAGTCTTACTCTGTTGCCAGAGTACAGTGGATGGAGTGCAGTGGCACGATCTCAGCTCACTGCAACCTCCGCCTCCTGGGTTCAAGCGATCTCTTGCCTCAGCCTCCCAAGCAGCTGGGATTCAGGCAGTCACCACCACACTGGGCTATTTTATTTTATTTTTTGTATTTTTAGTAGAGATGGGGTTTCACTATGTTGGCTAGGCTGGTCTCAAACTCCTGACCTCAGGTGATCTGCCTGCCTCTGCCTCCCAAAGTGCTGGGATTACAGGCGTGAGCCACTACATCCAGCCAACTCTGTAGGGACTTTTATGTGTTTAGCTATCTGGAAGTTCTGAGAACTTTGTTTTTTGGAGTTTTAATAGAGGCTTTATTTTATGTAGTCATGATTGATTAAACTATTGACCATTGCTGAGCAACTTAACTTTCAGCACCTCTCCCCAGTCCCCAGAGGTTGGAGTGACAGTGTGGGTGCAGATAAAAGTCCCACGCCTCTAATCTTGTCTTGGTCTTTATGATGACCAGTCCCGTCTTGAAGCTACTAATACTTAAGGACTGTCAGCCATCAGTCATCTCAGTATATAAAAATACGTCATTTTGGGGTCTTTAAGGATTTTAGGAGCTGTACTTCAGGAAACAAGGTTGAAGACCAAATATATATTTTGTAATATCACACCAAGATCATAATTTTGTAAATCAGTGTTCTCTAGATTTTACTGAGAGGTCAAACCAGTGTATGCAACCCAGACTAACCCCCTAGATAATATCAGCGTTTACATCGAGTTTAGAGTACCCCTGGTGAAAACTGGCTCCTAAGTAGGTCAGGTCACAGTAGTTCATTAATGGGGATACTTCCTTGTCTTAGAATCACTTCCTCCTGCTCTGAAGGGAAACTGAAATGGACTTAGTTCTTCCTAAAAACATGCTGTGCTGTATTTTAGCCTTTTTTTCTTCTGGCTTATTTCATTTTATCCCAAACCCTGTTCTCATTGCTTCATGATCATTGATGTCTTTCTCCTTTATTTTTTGAAAGATTTGACACTTTCAAGCATTTTCCAGTTACTGCCAAAGCTTAATAAAATTAAAGATATTTGCAGTGTGATATAATTAACTCATTTCCATAGAGTTCTGCGGCAACTTTTATTGGGTTCCTTCCTATAACTAACAATTTCCTGCTTACTCGTCTTAAAAAGTTTCATCTTCATGTGGTCTCTTTTTCTTCTGCTGTCCCTTCCTCTTCCTCTTTCTCCTCTTTAAAGCAGCAGGTTGTTTTACTTCTTGATTAGAGTATTTTCACAAGTGGTCACTGTTTTTGAGAAGTCTCCAAGAACTTGGTCAAGATTAGATCACTGTATTTGACTAAGTCAAGCCCTGGCAGGAAGGTGATTACTGAGGCAAAGTCTTGTTAGATAAACCTGCATTGCATGTACCATTTCCAAATTTTAGCAGACTAAACACTGCAGCATTGTTTCAATTTCCCCCTGCAACTCACTCTGGCTATTAATCTGCCTTAGGAGATAGGTAGCTGGCTGTTCTCATTGTTATATATCTAGCAGTCTCTGGACGAAAGAGAACTCAGACCTAGTAACTGAGAGCAAAATATTTATACAGACACAAGAATGGGGGTGGGCAGGAAGGGAGGGTTGTAACTGAAAAAACGCAGACCAAAACAGTTTTGACAACTTAAATTTATTGTAACTGCCCAACAAAGGAAGTAGAGTTGGAGGTTTATCTCCAAGAGGTTTTTTGTTTTGTTTTGTTTTGTTTTTTTGTAGCTCCACCTCTTAATTTATTATTATTATTCATTTTATTTTATTTTTTGAGACAGAGTCTCGCTCTGTCACCCAGGCTGGAGTGCAGTGGCACAATCTTGGCTCACTCCAACCTCTGCCTCCCAGGTTCAAGCGATTCTCCTGCCTCAACCTCCTGAGTAGCTGGGATTACAGGTGCCCTGTCACCACGCCCGGCTAACTTTTGTGTTTTTAGTAGAGAGGGGGTTTCTCCATGTTGGCCATGCTAGTCTCAAACTCCTGACCTCAGATGATCTACTCTTCTGCCTCCCAAAGTGTTGGGATTTCAGGCGTGAGCCACAATGTCCGGCTTTAATTCATTATTGTTAATATTTTTGAGACAGGGTCTTGCTCTCTTGCTCAAGCTGGATGGCAATGGCATGATCATGGCTCACTGCAACTTCAGCCTTCTAGGTTCAAGCTATCCTCCTGTCTCAGCTTCCCAAGTAGCTGGGACCATAGGTGCATGCCACCATGCCCAGCTAACTTTTTTTTTTTTTTGTAGAGACAGGGTCTTGTGATGTTGCCCAGGCTGGACTCAAATTCCTGGCCTCCAGCCATCCTCCTGCCTGGGCCTCCTGATGTGCTGGGATTACAGGCGTGAGCCACTAGACCCGGGTTAGCTGCACCTTTTAATGGAGGAGAATGATAAGCAGGTTGAAAATGGTGGGGTGGGATTGGAGAAATGCATCATCGTAAAGTATTTTTTAACTGGGGGCCCATGTTGGGAGTCACACGGTTACTCAGAAAAGGATCCAGTAGTAGCATTAACCGAGGGAGAAAGATAAGCTGTGAGGAAAGGCCTAGTGAGTTAGAGGAGCTGGAATTCCAAACATTTTCCATAGCTTGTCAGTAACGACATTTGTGCAGATCTTTGGATATATAAAGAGGGAGTCCGTCTATTGATAAAATGAGCGCTGGGTTTACCAACCCTAGGCTTTGGCTCACCCTGATCCTCACCGCCGGGCGGTGAGATGGTCGCGTTATTGCCTCCATCTGGTGGACTGCGCTCTGCGCTTCCAGCGGTGGAGGAATTGTCCGCCTCCACCGGGTCAGCACGTGCTGGATTTGAACCAAACAAGTTATCTGTGTACCCCACGCCTTTGCTTTTACCCACTAGGCGGTAACGTGATTTCACGCCTGAGAGTTTCTTGGCTGAACAAGTTGGAAATCATTGGTTTCAAAGATTGGAAATCACTGGGTGCACGCCCCTGGATTTTTTCCCCAACCACTCGAGGCCGTCGCGCTTGCTTCGACGTTTCTATTCGCACAGCACGCAGATACTACCGCCCCACTCTCACCGCGCCAGCCTGCGGGGCTCTCGGGCCTCCCTCAGGCGGTGGGAAAAGAGCCTCCCGGGCTCACTCTACTCGGCGCGCATGGCTGCCAGGGGAAAGTATTGTCCTTAAATCCAGAGCGGCGCTGCGCGCAGGGGAGCGATCTCAGACCTCCGCGGAGCATCGGTGATCCCAGGGCCGGCCGCGTTCCAAGGCAAGCGCTAGTACTGCGAGCAGAGAGTGGTCACTAAGAAGTCATTAGGAGATTGGCAGGGGGAGTCCTCGGGATGCGGTTCCCGCCGTCCCTCACACCTCCCTCCACGTCTTTCCGGACCCCGGGGCGACGCGGACCCGGCCGGGGGAGCCCGGGGGAGGGGGTCGAGCCGGGGCGGGGCGGGCGCGCGTGCGCGAGCTGTCAGGCCGGCCCCGCCCCCGCGCCCCGCCCCGCCCCTGCCGCCCCTCCCCCGCTCTCCTGGTGTAGGGCGGGCGGGCGCTGCGGCGGCCGCGGCTGCTGCTTCCTCGGGCCATTTTGCTGTGGAGCGGCGGGGAGGAGGAGCCGCCGAGGAGACCCCGGGCAAGGAGCTGCGAGCCGGAGGAGGCCGCGCGAACTCCGGGCTTTCCGCGGTCGCGGGGATCTCGGGGGGCAAAGGGATCGCCGGGGTGGGGGACCAGAGAGCCGCGCCCGCCGCGCGGAGCGCCCCTTCGCGCCCCCAGCACCATGAGCTGGGGTACCGAGCTCTGGGTGAGTGAGGGTCTGGGCCCGCGGGCAGATGCGGGGCGTGCGCTGCGTTTCCCCGCGGCCTGGGGAGGGGGCGCGGGCCGCGCTGCCGGGCGGAGGCGAGGGCGCGCTCGTCGGGGTCGCCGCGGCCTGGGGAGGAGGCGGGGTCCCCGTGCCCCTCGTCGGCCTTGGCCCGAGCAGGAGGTGCGGACCGGCTAGTCCTTCGGAGGCGAGGGGAGTTAGTGCGGGTTCCCAGCGGCCTGAGGAACGGCACAGGCGGGCCTCCCTGTCCCCTGCGCCCCGGGGCGGGCGGTGTGTGTCGGGCCGAGCCCTAATCCCCCGGGGCGAGCCGCGGATGCCCGGGGGGGGGCCGGGACCGGGCGTGGGGGCGTGGAGGCCCCGGCTGCGCGGCGCTGCGTTGGGTCTCTGGGCGCCCCGGCTGCGAGTTTTGTCCTGGCTCGGTGGAGGCGCTGGCGGATCCGGCGCTTCCCCGGGGGCGGGGCGGCCGGGGCGAGCGCCGGGGGTCGGGTTTTGGGGTGCCGGGGCTACAGTGCGGTCTTCGCTCTGGAGGCGAGGACTTCTGGCCCGTGGCGGCACCAGGCGCGCTTGTTCTTTCGGGGTAGCTCAATCCTGAGTGGATGTGGGCACTGCGACGTCTGGTCTGGAGGAGAAAGTGGGAGTTGGGGAGACATCTTACGTGATCTCCCTCAGGAAGAGGCTTTCGCGGGGTCAATCTTTAACGGTTGCTCGGAGAAGAGTTTCCAGTGGGGAAAGTTGACGGTGAGGGACGCCTGGCGGGGATGCTTGGCCGGGGGGTGCGCACGGTAAACGGGCAGCCCTCGGGGCTGAGGGCCGTCCCCAGGAAGGCGAGTGGCCGGCTGTGGATGGAGCTCTTTCCCTGCCGTCCGCGGATTCCTGGGGAAATCACTGGGCAGGGGATGGGCAGCGCGGCGGCCGGGGAAGGAGTAGACGAAATCTCAGTTACTGCACTGAAATGCCCTCAAGATGAGCCATTTCCCAGGATGAACTCTGAAGTGCCTGCAACTACCTTTTGGAATTCTATTTGCAAAGGGTGTGGAGGAGAAAGTGTAGGGTGGTGTTGCTATCTGAGATGAGGCCGAGAAATCTCTTGTCAAAATAAAACAAGGTCAGAGCAATTGCAGAAACAGAGCGCATCCTCCCTTGTTTTTTGTTTTGTTTTGTTTTGCTTTAATTGTTTTTACATAACCATCTGTTAGGTACAGAAGCAGCTACGGTTGTTATTACCAAAATCCTGAGGGCAATAGCTCCCTTACATTAAGATAATTCATTTTATAAACATCTTCTGCCTAAAAGGGATTTATGACAAAATTTCCACTGATGTTTACAAGTATCCATTTTGAAAATAAAATCGTTTAAAATATTTGCACACACCAGTTTAGGCAAAATTTACCACTTTGAGTGCTGTATTGAAGTTTCTTTCCTCTTCTAATCCTTCCACTCTCTTTAGCTTATCTGGGGTGGGGAAGCAAATCAGAAGAAATCTTTATCAAGACAGTAGAAATTGTGGCACAATTTTTTTTTCACTTGTTCAAACAGCAGATGGAATTATGGAGGGAAAAGGTACAATATATTTCTGAGTGAAATAAGGACCGAACACAATACCTTGGTGGACAGTTCAGTGATGTTGGTAAATGGGATAGAATATAATTCCAAAGAGAGGGAGTGGCTATGAGCAAAACTGCTAAAACAGCAGCAATTGCCTGCATTATTCCGTACATTTATTTTTGAGGGTGGAGGAGTGGGAAGGAAGGCAGGGTTAGGAGTGGTTGAAAATAAATGAGAGAGGCGGGGCACAGTGGCTCAGGCCTGTAATCCCAGCACCTTGGGAGGCCGAGTTGGGAGGATCTTTTGGGCCCAGGAGTTCAAGAACAGCTTGGGGAATATCTGGAGATGTCTTCTCTTAAAAAAAAAAATAAAAAAGAAAATAAATGGGAACTGGAATATATACAAATAAATGATATGAAATGTTAGATTTGCTTCACAATAATTTGTGTTGTTAGTGGATCAGAGATAGTGAGACAGAATTGGCCATTATTGAAGCCAGATGCTGAGTACAGAAGTGTTCATTACATTATTCTTTCTAGTATATATGTTTGACATTTTCTACAATAAAAATAATTGGAAAATATTTTTAAAGGAGAAGGATATGAACTATCTGTAATTTTTTCACTTGATAATTTTATGAGGTAGAATGAATCAGTTAACAGTTCTATATATGCAAGTGTATGGCAATGAGGAGTTTTTAAAAAGACGTTTTTAAAAACTTCTTTTTTTTTTTTTTTTTACCTGAGACGGAGTCTTGCTCTGTTGCCTGCCCAGGCTGGCATGCAGTGGCGTGATCTCGGCTCACTGCAGCCTCTGCCTCCCAGGTTCATACGATTCTCCTGCCTCAGCCTCCCGAGTAGCTGGGATTATAGGCACCTGCCTCCATGCCCAGCTAATTTTTTGTGTGTTTAGTAGAGACGGGGTTTCGCCAAGTTGGCCAGGCTGGTCTCAAATTCCTGACCTCAGGTAATCCGTCTGCCTCAGCCTCCCAAAGTGCTGGGATTACAGGCATGAGCCACCACACCTGACCTTAAAAAAGACATTCTTATGAGTACTAGCATTTGCCTTTGAGTAGCTTACAGTTTAATATAGGGAAAGGAATGAACACATGATTGTGCTACTCAGAGAAATGCAAAATCTAAGTTTTCAGGTGAAATGCAAAGATGTATAAGGCTTAGTAGCTTTTGAGATTTAAAAAAACTAGAATAATGAAGGATTACGAAAAGTAAACCCCGTTTCTCCGGCGGTCAGAGACTTGGTGATGTGTGGTACACTGGGTAGCCGAGTGGAGGGCAGTGATTAAGGGTTTTCCTTGAATGGTGGCTTTGGAATCATGCACATGTATAATGAGATAATGATGGTGCGCTCAAGCCGAACTTGGCAGAATTATTCTTCTAGATGGAGAAAGAGCTATGGTTTGGGTGGCCATGAGTTATTTGTAACAGGTGGTTGCAGCTCTCAGGGACCTTCACAAATACTCTCAGATTTTACATACATTTTAGGACTTCAGGTTAAAGTCAATATAGGCTTTTAGAAACTACAGGTTTCTAATGTGCATTTTACACTGAAGGCCTACTCTAAGCCACATCCTGCTTTGTAGAGGGAGTAAAACCTTTCTCTTCCTCTTTCTTTTTTACTTTTTCTTCAACTCCTTCATAGAAATAAACTTTCTTTTTTTTTTTTTTGAGATAAAGCTTTGTTCTTGTTGCCCAGGCTGGAGTGCAATGTCATGATCTCGGCTCACTGCAGCTTCCATCTCCCAGGTTCTAGCAATTCCCTTGCGTTAGCTTCCCGCGTAGCTAGGACTACAGGTGTGCGTTACCACACCTGGCTAAGTTTTTGGTTTTTTTGTAGAGATGGGGTTTCACCATTTTGGCCAGGCTGGCCTCGAACTCCTGACCTCAAGTGATCCACCCACGTCAGCCTCCCAAAGTGCTCAGATTATAGGCATGAGCTACCTCACCCAGGCTTAAATGGCCATTTTGAAGTGATTAGGTTATAATAAAATAGTGTACAGCTCTTCATAACGTTGCCTTTTAATCAATTTTCAAAATTTTTATTTAACAACTACGGTGTGCGCAAGACACCAGCCTGAATCTGTTGTGAGTCACGTTATATATATTGAAAGATATCTACGTGGAAGCATAGAAAGTAGGTTTTACCTCTAGCCTGTAACATCAGAGTCAAAAGAAAAAGTATGTTTTTATGTAAAATCAACCAAAATACATTTACTCAAGACTTGTTAAAAAGGCAGTGTTAGTAAGGTAAATATGTTCACTGACTTGTGGAAGTTGTGGCTGGTTGTTGGAGAAATGGCAAAGCAAGAGTTGCTTACATTTGAATGTTGTTTTTTTTTCCTTGCCTGCTTACTGAGGGAAGTGACAGGTTACTGAAGTGTTAGTTCAGCTTTTTATTAGCTTGCTCATTAGTGTGAAGTATGAATAAATCCATTGGAAAGTTAAGCCTTCCTCATAATTATTCTGTTTGCAGCTAACAAATTATTCAGTGACAGAACCTGGTTTTGCTGCCTTCTAGTGTCCTCTCTGTCATCTTTATTTATTTGCTCTGGTGCTAATGAGAAATGAAGTATGTACAAGAAAGAGAACAGAGAAACCTGAATAATGCATATTGGTTAGCATAGTAAGAAGCCACCTGTGGGCTGGGCGTGGTGGCTCACGCCTGTAATCCCAGCATTTTGGGAGGCTGAGGCGGGCAGATCACGAGGTCAGGAGTTTGAGACCAGCCTGACCAAGATGGGGAAACCCCATCTCTACTAAAAATACAAAAATTAGCCGGGCATGGTGGTCCACGCCGGTAATCTCAGCTACTCGGGAGGCTGAGGCAGAGAATCCTTTGAACCTGGGAGGTGGAGGTTGCAGTGAGCCAAGATGGCGCCATTGCACTACCTCCTGGGCGACAGAGCAAGACTGTCTCAAAAAAAAAAAAAAAAAACACCTGTGTTGATTGTATGTAATTTTTTTTTTACCTGTGATTTTTAGAACCATGCCAGGCATATAATGTACATTCGACTGTTGGATATGTTGACCCTGATCATGGATTTGCACTTTCAAGAGGCAGCCGTGTGAGGATTGTCTACCGACTGTAGTGGGAACAATGCTTGACTCCGTGTAGAAGTTCAATAAATATTTATTGGATAAATGAATAAATCCCTTTTTTTCCTTTTGTTTTAACATTTGCTTTTTAAAAATAATGGGAAGATAATTATAACACCTTTCTGCACTTTGGCAGTTTAAAAAATATATATAATTTTAGGTATCTTTTTGGAAAATAGACTCTTTTTTTTTTTTTTTTTTGAGACGGAGTCTCTGCCGCCTGGGCTGGAGTGCAGTGGCCGGATCTCAGCTCACTGCAAGCTCCGCCTCCCGGGTTCATGCCATTCTCCTGCCTCAGCCTCCGGAGTAGCTGGGACTACAGGC